CGCGCGTCCATTTTCTTTCACAACGTGTGGTAAACAGGTCTTGGTCCTTGGCCCAAGTTTGGTCAAATTCCGCTATTCTCCCATATTTCCCTCCGATTTCCTCACCTTATCTGGATTTAGTTCGGTGACAGGCATACTGACTCCCACGTGGCCCACATGTGGTTGCCTCAGGCTGTGCAACGCGTGTGGCATACGGTACGCACGGCAGGTGAGACAGGTGGGCCAACACACCGCCACCAACGACACTGCACCGCACATCCCACCGCCTCCGACCCGCACCAGCGTGCACTACCTGCTGAATTGAATGGATTGCTTTTGTCTGTCGTCTGTGACGACTGAGTTCTTCTTCAGACCTAAACGGACCTGCACATGAACTGGTGACATGAACTGGGGTCGACCAGGGTGGGTGGTGGGTGGGCTACTTGGTGAGAACAAAGTGGTCCTTGACGCGGGCGTCGACGTCGCTGATGAAGGTCATCTCCAGTCGCGAGGACGTGACCGAAAGGCGCGTGTAGCCGTTCTCCGACACGTCCACCACGCGCGCCCACGAGGGCATGGTGAGGGGAATGTCCGTCGAGAGCCTGTAGCCGGCCATACCTGGTAGAGGGGGAAAAGGCGAGAAACATCAATCTCCTGTGTGCCGCCTACCGCCAGTGTGTCGTGTGTGTCGTGTACCTATGACGACGTGTGTGGTGGCCTGGCCTTCAGACATGCAAGTGCCGTTGAACACCGGGCAGCTGCGCTGGTACTGTGCTCCGACGAGAAGACAACTCTCAACTGACTATGCAAGTAGGGCACTTCAGGAAAGAAGGCGATGGAGGGCGCGTACGGAGTGGTGGTGGCCCCAGAAGGCGAGGTCGACCCGGTACTTGAACAGCAGGTCCTCCAGGTTGCGCCTCAGCTCTCTCGCCACCGGCTGGTCGGCCGAGTCGCCCTTATCGCTGCAGGCCCGCCACCACATCAACAACCACGTAAGCAGTGTGATGACAAAAAAGTCTCTATTTCTTCGGGTATGTACTTTTAATATACATATACATTTCTTTCGAAAATCTCACCACCATAACACTGTTCTTCGATTGGAGAGGGGGCGTACTAGTTGGAGTCGATGTACATGGGGCGGTGGCCGCTGAAGATGATCCAGGGAGTCTTGGTGCGATCCACCTTCCTCAGATCGGCTTCGATCCACTGCCACTGCGTTCCGCCTATGACGCGCACACGGCACACGGCACACGCACATGTCCGGTGAGCCGGCTGCGGCTTCCCAACATTCCAGAGAAGAATAGACCGGGGCGGGCGTGGAGGTCGCACCAATGGTGAAGTTGTGTTCGCTGGACATGAAGACGAAGTGGACTGAGCCGTAGTCGAAGCTGTACCACGGCTGATCCCTGCCCGGCGTGGGCATAGGGTACCGCACCTCATATGCCACGCCGCACTCGCCTGTCGTCGTCGTCGCACAAGTCTACGTCTTAGACACACGACACGACACGACCAACGACACGACACGACCAACGACACGACACGACACACACAGCGAGCGACACAGAACACAGGCGACACGCAACCCACGATCCACAGCGCGCGGAGCAGGTACCGCCAGAGTCAGTTCCGTTGAAGCGGGAGCCGGAGTTGGGGAAGTCGCGCTCGTGGTTGCCGATGCAAGTCATGTAGGGCAGCCGCGTGGAGATGGCCGACACCTGGTCGTGGAACTCGTCCCACTGCGCGCCGTAGCCCACCGCGTAGGAGATGTCGCCTGCACGGGTCACATATACACAACAATTTCTACGCCATGAGTATGTTCGTATATGTGGGATGATATATGCATATGATGAGGCTGCTTACCAATGTGGATGGCAAGGTCCATAGGGATGGCCTGCATATCTTTGATCATGAGGCGCGTCGTGTTGATGGAGGCCTTCTCGTTGTTCCAGTGCTCCAGGGAGTCGTCCTCATATTCGAATGCTCTTAGATTCCACACATCGATGTATATATAGAAAGATATATAGATGTATACTATTGGGAATGTGCGGAGTACCTGGGTGGTCTTTCCCATGTCTCCGTAGGCGAAGATGTTGAGGGTGCGGCTGGCCGCTCCAGGGCGAGGGGCCGACATGAAGGAGGCCTCTTCGCTGAATCCGTACGCAGGGTCACCATAGACATAGTAATACCTCGTATCTGTACTCACATATGCACGTCAGCGTCATCGCCGTCAACATCATCGTCTTCGTCATCATCGTCTGTACTCTTAGTTGACCATCACCACAACTTCATCAATGCGAATCGCAAGGTACCGGGCGAGAGGTTGGAGAGGACGGCGCTGTGGAACAGGCCCGGATCACGCCAGCCTTCGGTGTTGGCCGGCGCGCCGCACATCTGGTCCCTCGTGTAGGTCGTTGTCGACGCGCTCACACTACCAACGTACTGACCTGTGGGTGCATGCGCGTGTTGGCAACCAGTTTGAGTCCTAGAATTCAAAAAATGATGGTAGTTCGACACCAGAGATTCCCCACATACCGGGCGAGGTGCCGAACTTGACCTGGGGCGAGGTTGTGTTGAGGGTGGTCCACATGACGCGCATCTCGTGGGGCACGCCGGTCAGCATCAGGCGGCCCTGCAGCGGTTCGTTGTAGTTGGCGAACGTCACTGTTGATTGAATGTGTGCGTTTGTGAGTGGTGTTTTTTATACAACAACTTTCTATTTTTCGCACTAGTGGAGTGCGCACCTCGATTGGAGGAGGCGATCAGGGTGGGCTTGTCGATGCCGCCCGAGAAGTAGTGGAAGACGTAGTCGGCCCGCATGTTGGTCAGGCGGAACCACAGCTTGCCATATCCGTCCTTGAACTAAATGTTTAAGGACATTGGAATGTTAGGAATGTTAGAGTATGTGCAACACACCTCTATATTGACCCTATATAGTACAGCGTACCTCGTCGGCGTACTTGTACTTGATCGGGGCCGTCACGGTGACATCGGCGTCGGCGGGCGAGTAGACGCCCACCCAGTCGCCCCAGCTGGCCGAGGCGCCGCTCCACGAGACTGACACCCACTCGCCCGACCGCTTGAGCTCTCCGGGCCAGGCCGACATGCGCACGTCGCCATCACGAGCCACCACTATCTGCGCGCAATGTAAAGAATGTCCCCGTTATGTGAGCGAAAATGTTGAATGTAGCCGAGAAAGAAGCGTTGGAGGAGGCGATGGCGAAGGTGGTGTAGGTTGTGTTGGGGGGGGGTGTTAAAATTGAAAATACCTTATCGAGGTGAATGCGCGTGCTTGCTCCGGCGTCGCGACCGTGAATATGAGCTGATGAGGTAGGCAGGACCACCAGGTAGAACAGCGCCACCATCAGGCCGGCGAGAGTCCACAAACGCGCCATGGAAGCGGAGCTTGTGCGTGTCGTGGCGTACAAGAAGTGGAGGAGTTAAAAAATTGGATAAAAGAAATGCGGTTGGAAATTTCGTAGTTGTTTTCTCGCCGATTGGCCGGGCTTGATATTTCTTTATGCACCTTCCCTTATCTTTCTTTGTCCCGTCATCCGAGAGCTCTCACGTAGGTAGCCCTCGGATGTATTTCTATTTACATATATCGAAATCAAAGTACTAAAAGGTGTCGGCAGGTCGAACAACAATGCAGCGCGGGTTGGCGCTGGCGCTTGTGATAGCCCTCTTGGCCCTCGCCTCCGTGGCCGAGGCCTGGGGTCCGCTCTCGCACTACTATTTCGCCCTCCAAGCCTTCCCCACCGCCGACCCCTACAGGTACGCACGCGCACCACCGCACACACCGCACTCGCACGCGCACACCGCACGCGCATGCCACACGCGAGACTCAATGGTTTCATGGGGTGTGGGGGGGGGGCTTCGCGACAACAGCGTGAAGCAGGGCTGCGACCTGCCGGACGGGTTCTACTTTGCCAACTGGTCGCAGTTTCCGGACTGCTCGGTGCCGGTCGACGCCATGCACAACGGCGTCTTCCCGGGCTACCTCGTCCAGTTCGCCCTCACCTCCGAGGCAGCCAAGTGCGTCGCACGACGTCCCCCAAAAAAGAGGAGTTTGAATCACACCAGCGATCTAACGCACACACCGCACACACCGCACACACACCGCACACACACCGCACACACACCAGATTCAAGCGCGATGGATTTGATCCGCTGTCGATGGCGCTGGCCTTTGGCTCGCACGTGTATGCCGACGTCGTGGGCTTCCACACTCCCTACGGCGGGTACTGCAACCCCCCTCTATTCCCACCACATTGGCCACGGCGCACGGCACGACTATACGACCAAATCTGATGATGAAATGGTGGTGGTGTTGGGCCACTATGTATCGCGTGCGCAGTTATCTTGGTCCGACAGTGCCCAACTACGCGACCACGTGGCCCCACATGACCGCGATCGACGCCCACGTCTCCCATTACATCCCGTTCGACCCCGACTCCACGGTAATCCCGCCAACTCACTTTACAGTGTGCGTGTGCGGTGTGTGCGTGCGTGCGTGCGTGCGCATGTGCGCTCGTGGCTGATACACACTCCATCTCGAAAGATGTCGAGCGAGGTGGCTGCCGAGTTTGTGGCGGCTGGCACCGAGTACGCGCACAGGGCCAATGCCAAGTACGGCGTCTACAACGCCACCGCCATCAAGAAGTGCAGCGACAACTGGGGCACCGCCGGCCTCGGGCTCATCAAGGTGGCCAAGCTCCAGGCCGCGTACGCAACTCAACCCAACTCTTCATTCACTGAAGTTGATGACTGATCAAAGGGCTGATGGTGGCTGGCATGAATGGAATGTGGCTCTTTTTTATCTATTTAAAGGTCGACGTACTATCAGCAGGCGCTGATCGCCTACGACCAGTTCAACGCCACCACTTTCCAGCAGACGGCCAAGCACTTTACCATGGCCAACGATTGCGCCGTGGCGGTGATCCAGCACTGGGCGCAGCTGGTCTGGAAAGACAAGCTCCATCCGGAGACCGCCTTCGCCCAGAGCTACGCCTTCTCCAAGAGCCTCTTTGCCAAGGGCTCCTGCACGCCCTACCCCGTTTCGTAATGTGTGTGACCCAACATGTTGGGAATGCTGGCACCACCACTTCAACTCAACAATGTTGCCACCTTCGGAGATGACGAAACCACTTTGGAAGTGTTTTGTTCCGCCAACCAACACAGCTTCAACGTGATAGGCCCAATGTCGGGGCTCACCGAGGCAAATAAAAAGAGGGACTGTGCGTGGTTTTTTTTTAACCTCCACACACCGCCTACACTACCGCAATACAAGTAAAGAAGATGGGCCGTACTCCGTCTCTGTGCCTCGTCGCCCTGCTTTGTGCTCTTGCCTTGTCCTTGGCGGGCTTGGCTGTCCCCGCCGAAGCCGAGGACGTGTGCCCGCTTGGCGCCATGCGTCCGGACTCCTGGGTTGCGGTACGTCCGCTGCGGAGCCACTCGAGCCCAACGTCTCGCCATTGGAGCCTTAAGTCACTCAATCATGATCATCAATCAAACCTTCTCTTCTTCCTCCTCGTTCAGGACCTGGTGGCGCGTCTGAGGTCCATCGGCATGCTTGCCGACCGCGTTGCCTACCTCAAGCAGGCCGTCCTCAACGACACCCGCTCTTTCACTGGCAAGCAGATTGGCTCCATCCTCGGCACCATCACCCTGCAAAGATACACCCTTGAGGTACGCGCAGCTTTCTCTTTCAAGTGACATAGTGCTTCTCTTTGCTCTCGTTTAGGTATAGATATATATGAAATATAAATGGAAAAGAGAATAAATAAATAAAGATATGTACAGAAATTTCTCACATTTGCGAGTTTTCTCTATGTAGGCAATGAGCTTCCTGCAGCCCTACATCTCTGGGCTGACCAAGGACGAGTTCATCGGCGTGCTTCTCCTCTTCGGCATGGAAGATGCGCGATTGGCCGTGCTGCCCTCGATCAAGGACACGCTCTTCAATGCTTCGGAGGCCAACAAGCAGGAGATCGTCAACCGCTGCTTCGGCATGTCGGCGAATCGCCAGAAGGCCATTGCCATCCTCACGCCCGTTCCATCCAGGTACATCCACTTGACTCCATGCCTCGTCATTCCTCCATCTAGCGGCCCACACTTGCTGACGCCCACTCACGTCCTACTTGTAGGGACTGTGTCTTTGGTAACATGCAGGAGGACTCGTTCTCCATCGTCATCGACTCGTCGGCCGCGAGTAGCAGGAAGTTCTTCTTCAACGGCAAGGCGTACACCCGCATGTCATTCGTGGTGGAGCACCTCAACAAGACCCTCGCGGAACTCAAGCCCACGCAGATGTTCTACATCATCAGCTTCTACTCCGGGCCCTACCCCCTGTTCCGCCAACCGGTCTATGCCACCCCGCAGAACATCGAGGTTTGTCCCAGACCTTCTTCTTGTTGTTGCTGTTGAGGCTGTTGAGTCTTCTTGCTCACGTTGGCCTTGATTTCTATGGCTGTGTGTCGTGTCGTGTGTTGTGTGTCGTGTTGTGTGCGCGTGTGCGTATAAAGTATGCCCTTGGCGTCATCAACCGTTGGGGTCCTAGCTCCTCCACCGTGAGGGACTGCTACGGTGGCCTCTACGCCGGCTTCGCTTACAACCCGACGGCGACGGCCATCTACTTCGTCTCCACCGGTGCACCCTCTGCGGGCACGCCCTCTGATCAACTCATTTACGCCTCCATCCCGCAGTGGAACCAGGCTCGCTCGCCTCAGTACCAGGCGCGCATCTACGCGACCGCTCTCGTCGCTGGCCCGGACAGTGAGGCCGACAAGCAGGCCGCCATCACCTTCATGTCCCAGGTGGCTGGAGTGGGCAAGGGCGTCCTCCGCGCTATCGATACCCAGTAGTGTAGTGTTGTAGTGTTGTGGTGCACTCACTCCTCGGCGTACTAAATAAAAAACAAAAAAAAAGCATCATGCACGAACGCCCACCTCGGTGTCGTCCGCCTGCGTCCGGGCGTCGAGCAGCTCTGCGAAGCTCCGCACGAACCAGTCGGCTTCCTGCGCCACGCGCTCACGCACCTGTGTGCGGCCCCACACAACACACGACGAACGGCCTTACCATCAACACACGCTCACGCGCACGCACATCACAGTCCACATACTGCACGTTGAGCGCCTACGTACCACATTGCCGCCAAAGCCGATGACCATGTCGGCGGGACCCTTGGCTTCGAGGTCGGTCACGCCGTCCCCGACCATCACCACGGACGAGAAGCCGTGCTGCTGCCGAATGCCCTCGATGGCCCGGGCCTTGCCTCCCGTTTCCGACGTCGGCTCGCGTTCGTCGAAGCCCGCATACTCTCCATCTGCGGGTGTGGTTCTGAGTCTACGCGTGGTCACGTC